TTTTTTGTGTGGAAAATAAAAAAGCGGATTATGTACAATTAGTTAGAATTTTACAGTATTTTTATCATTCATTTAGCAGTTTATTGTCAAATGATATAATAAATTCAGTCGCGTAAAATTCAGTTAGTATAAAGAAATAGAAAAAAACATATATGACGCATTTATTCCAGAATTTATGCGTATTACGCGGGATAGCCGACGATTCGCAATAACGAAAGAAAAAGCGAAAAATACGTTATATAGTACAAAATCGATAGAAAACATAAAAAGAAACAGAAAAAATACATTACTTTTACGTATCAATAAAAAATACACAGAAGGAATAATTTACGTTAAACAACAAAGCCTCTGTGATGGAAATCAATTTGTCACTATTATGTATTATCAAATTTAAATAAGCCTCGATTTCCTTATCATTGGCTTCTTATTGTATCTAGACACAAAGGCTTTTCTCTCCTGCTTTTAGCAACTACAAAGCGATGCGTGACGTAAAAGGAGGCGCATGTCGCAAATTGATTTTCGATGCTCAAGAGGTATCTCCGGACTTTGCGTTTAAACGCGTTATCTGCAGATGTAAAAATAATTTTAAATTCCTTCAAGGATGCGACCGTTCATTGTTACAAAAATATGACAGATGGCTAATAACTGCAAATTAATCTATAAACACAATTTTCTAATGAAGTTTAATTCATATTTTCTTGCAGTAATTTCGTTTTCTTAATTCATTAAAATCGCGACTTTTTATTTAGAATATTCTGCTTAATATCATTGAGAAACTTCATATTAAATTCTATTTTAGATTAATTTCCACATTAATTTTTATAAATGGATTATTACATATGGATTTAACATATTTATAGTTTAGAGTTTTATTTTATAGATTCGTTAATTTTGTAATTAATTTTGCTCGATGATCAAATGATTATTTAATAAAATTTATCCATATCATGCGATTTCGCATGAGCACGCGGAAGAAACGTACACAATGTCTACGATACTTTCTACTTCTACATGGTAAGCACATTTCCGGTTTCATATCTAACTTATTTTGTACATATCGTTTATTCATATATATTACAAACAGAGCGGAAAAAAATAGAAATAATACGAAATAAATGTTTGTAGAACATTTAGCATACTATTGTATGTACTGAACAAATATTAATTACCAGAAAAATTCACAATACTCTTGTCGACGGAAATCACAGGGCACATATTTCCGCGGAATTTTACAATATATAGAATTGATGTTTTTCACTTTAATTTTAAAAAACACTATAGCGAGGAAAAATATCAATAAAAAATTATTTTTAGATTGTAAAATAGAGAAGGTACGAGAGTATAGTAAAAATCAGCCGGCAAAATTCTAATTAATGAGTTATTAGTATTTGCGTTTAGATACGCGCAAGATAAACTACGGTATAAAATAAAAAATTGTGTAAAGATTTATAACTGTATATATAAAATTAGCCCCTCGTTAAGATAGTAGATGAGATTAACAGCGATTTTTCACGAAATTTTACGACGATGTTTAACATACAGAATTTACTTGAGATAAACGTAGCAGATTAATTAACGCGTCACCATTTACGCCTATTAAAGAGCTAATTGTAGAATTTAAACGCTGAACAAAACGCGTTCCGCTGACGATACAGTTTCGTAGAGTGATAAATCTTTAGCCAACCAAAGCCTGTGTAGTATCCACCATCTGGCGTCCGACACGAACACGCTCACGAGAGAAAATTGCTGAAGGAATTAAAGTCGCTCTTAAGATCGATATCCACCCTATTTCAGTAAATGACCGTATATTATTTTTTTCTATCCATTAATACATACGTTCATTCATGATGTAAGAAGACCGGATGAACTAATTTCAAGAATGTGTAATCGTTCAAAGTAATGAAGATATTTGTGACTAATTTAAAATTGACTCCAAATTATTATTACGCGGAATGTTACACCTGGTCTTCTTACATTCAGTTTCGATATACAGTGGCTGCCATAAAAGTTTTCGACTAACATATAATGTGACAATAATTTGTGCTAATTTATTTTTTAGTTTATATTATAAATTGATATAAAAATTGTTATAATCAACTTGAGAACACGGTATCTTAAATATAGAATATATTAAAAACTTGTATACTACATATCTTTATAGATTGTTGAGCAATATAATAAAATAACTCACACTCAGTCGAAAATTTTTGGCAGCCATTATAAGGCGACCAAAATCATAATATAAACAGGAAAGAGATTGTACAAAAGTAATTTTAAAGTATAAAATAAACTTCTTTCTTCTCACGAATTTTTACTTTCGAAAAAATCCATATTAAAAACTAGAAAATTAATAATAAACTTCTTTCTTTGTTAAACATGAATAAATATGATTAATTTCTTAGCGCTCCTAATTGCCAAACTTGTTATAAACATTTATTAAAAATATGCATTAAAATACAAATATAAATTTTACATAAAATTCCCTTTAAAAAAAAATACAGTATGCAATATGTTTATTTCACATTTTGGTTGCTATGCATAATTCCTTGAAAATGTGCACACCGCAAGTAAAATATTTATGCCCGCCTGGGATTACTTCCACTTTAATATGGAAGTGTAAAGCTGTATTAAATTTTCGTAGATTGCATATAATGGGTATATAGATTCGAAAATCGTCCATTTGTTTGCCGCGATTTTGCGGTTACAGAATGTAGCAACCTCTATATATGTGCATTACCGCAATGACATTGTTCATATGCACGAGAGAGAGAGAGAGAGAGAGAGAGAGAGAGAGAGAGAGAGAGAAAGAAGGAGGGAAGGGAAAAAAAAGAGAGAATGTATACACGTGAAGAGAACATCGAAAATGGTTACGGATGTGCTTTCGTAGAACATGGGCACTGTCAGATTAAATCCACAACATAACTACGTAAAGACACGTGTACGACATAGACATCTCATTAAGAAAATCGATATCACTTTAATTATCATACAAGTAGAGACGGACATTGAACGTAAACGCAACCATTAAATAAATAAAACAAAAAATGAACATTCGATCAAAACTGGATTAAAAGTTTAGTTAAAAATGATTTATACTCTTTTCCATGTATATACTCGTACACTTTCAATGCATTATAAATTATAATTAACATCTGATTTAACAACATTTTAACAAAATAAGAAAAGTCATAAAGCGAAAAAGCTTTTTGTTAATAATTATTTCTTTAATGATACCAAATTTTCCACGTTATTCATACTTTATTGCATACGAGAGAAAAAAGATTTACCATTACAATCTATTAACAATTTACAATTAATTCTCTTTCGGAGTCCTCTATCGATTTAATCAAATATAATAGGGGAGCTAGATTTCCTGGACCAAAACGTGAAGTGCGGAAATTGATTTGAGAAGATCACAAAATGCATTTCGACACACAAAAGCCATTGCACTGTATACACATTTTGTACACAAAAGCTCTATATATTCATAATCGACATGCATTCACCATTTAAACGCACTATAAAATTTCAATTAAATTATGCACGATTATCATTGTAATATCATGTTTAAAAAAATGTGTATATATATTAGGTGTTGGAATTAATTCGTAGCGTATCCAAATGTATACATTTTATGTAATTAAAAAATATCAAATAATTTTAAAAAATATGGATGCATTGTTGCAGAACGTAATTAATTAAATTCTTTACAAAATAATTGAAAAGCGCGGTACCTTGTTCCATTTTGGAATGCACATCATTTGCATGTGCTACTCATACACACACACACACACACACACACACACACACACTCCATGCTTATGAGCTTTTCACATTCACTTTGATGAGTATGTCCGTCTGCATTCTTAACCGAGCTTAACGTAACCTACTTTCAACCGGTGCAACTTCTTGTAATTAGCAGACTGAGCTGCATCTCATGCGTTCCGACGACGTTACACTTCTTTAAGAAAGAATTTTCGCATAAGCAAATTTTTCTTACTACTAATACTGATGTATTCGAGAGTCTCTCTTGTTCTTCCTCTAATATAACTTTTTGTTTGCCGCATAATCTGTTACAATAATCTATTAAAATCTAATATAAAATTCTAAATTTCGACATCTCTCTATTTCATTGATCATGAAGAATGAGGATATATCTAAATTTACCATAAAATTGACCGATCGAATTTCTTCTCCCAGAGGTTACAGAGATTGTTTTTCCAATAAAAATGGAGAATACCTGAGAAATCCTCGGGGAGATTCATGAAACGCGACTTGATTAATTATCATCCCTGAAGGGTATGTCGAATTCTACGAAATTTGAAAGCAAGGTTTTCCATGAATTTATATGATAGAATTTAACTGATAGAGTTAATTTCTCTATATTGTGTTCATCTTTGTATCTGTTGCGCTGTGTAAACTATGGGATTAAAATTTTTATTATTATAATATAGAGTAATTTTGAGTATTACAAAATATCTCCCAGGAAGGGATTATTTTCAGAAATATTATTGGCAAGAAAAAATAATCTATTTTTAGCAAAAACACAAACAGGAAAAAAAGTGTAAACCGAAGTAATATTTTTAATTAAACATAGCCTTATAAATGTAATTATTATAATTAATTTGAAAACGATTATTCTTAAAAAAAATCTATTTCTTTAATTTAATAGTTATTCCTAAAAAATCGATTCCTTTCATGTAAATTTCAAAGTCTGTAATTATTTCAAAACCAATATATATATGTGTGTGTAAATATATATGAAAAGTAACAACATCAAAGAAGTTGAAAAGCATTTGTGATTATATAATATATCATTCATAGAACCAAGTTCTGCAAGCATATTTTTTATGAATGAATTACCGTGTATTCAAACTGCAGTCTTGTAATTTTTCTACACTTTCTACCAAAATCTTGTCTTATATATCTGCGGTGGCACATGCGCGGACAACGAGGTGCAGGAGGTAAAGCCTAGTTTTCAGTCAGTCGGCCGAGAGCCGTCGAGGAGCTCGAGTTGTATACAAATTTTGGTGCTCGCGATACACACACGAGGTTTCGAAAACTATCGTAGGCTGACAGAAATCGCGTTCGATTTATGAAAAAAAAGAACCGCAATACTTCTGTGTTACAAAATGCGTCAATCACTATAAAATTGACGACGAAACATGAAACTGACAAATCTTTTCTGCCAAACTGGTTAAAATGGAAATCCTCTGGTCGGATAAACCAGTAGAATAATGTCTCGAATTTTGCACGTGAAAAATTTACATGTGAAAATAAGACGTCGTGCACAGCCATAATTAATTGCAGTCTAAACCGAGGAAAGGCTCGATTCTGAAAGTTCAGTCGTGCGAAGAAATCCAAAGAAAACGCGAACGTGACACGACTGAGAGGCGCGAGACCGACGAACTTAAGCTTACTAGTGAATTTCCGGGGATATACGCTATGTGTTGATAACAGAGAGAAATCGATCTTTAAGCATCTCCAACTCTGACTTGCACTGGATGGAAAATGTCATTAAATCAATCAAACGATATACTTAACGAAAGTGTAATTAACAGAGATATTTTAAATATTATGTGTATTGTTCAGAAAAATCAGTGACTCCGATTTATCGTTTATGTAATTTGCAAAAATATTTAATAAGAAATAATTTTTAAATGCAAATAAAATTTTCTTTAACTCGAAATCAAAACTTTGTCGATTATATTTAAGAAAATCATACTATCAGTTAAACTATCAGAAATTCCATGGAGAATGTCTCCAATTTTTATATCAAAGTAGTGTAACATATTTATTTACAAAGATGCTAACACACGAAGCATGACACGTCAAATTGCCGAACGTGTTCGGAGAAGGACTCAGAAAGGATTCATTATTAGTTTCGCGGAAGTTAGTGTACACACGGGTTAATGTTCCTGTGTCTCCAACTAGAACGACGAGGAGAATACACGAAGTTATCCAAGCATGAACAAGGGAAGATCTGGTGCGACGGCCACCCGGAAAATTTTCATAGAGTTCACGTCACAAGGATTTCTCGTTTAATAAGTTTCCAGGTATGTTAAATGTCCGCTAATTAATATCAGCTAGAATTGTGGCATCTCGGATATCTGCCTCGAACATATTTTATTTACGAATCATGCATTATGTACATATGAATATGCCAGGATGTGAAATAACTGACCATTATTGCGGCTATGTTAACATAATAACAATAATATAGAAATTAATATTATTATATGTTTACAATTGCAAATTACAATTTAAAATTATTTAAAAAATCATTTACCATTATAAATACCATCATTAACATCAATAGTTATGCATCATTATTCATTATAAGAGATATTTATTCGATTTTGAGTATACATTATTAAAATTTGTATAAAATAATATTGATATCTAAAAATTAAATTAATGTAAAATATATAAAAAGTATAATTTTATGATTTTACAAAATAGAAAAAAAAATTATATTTTTAGAACGATAAGGTTCTCTTTAAAAATTCTAATTTATATCTTTGATATTTCATTGCCCGGAAAAAATGTTTCATATATAATAATATATAATTATATATAATTATATATTGTGTGACATATTTATTTCACATATAATTATATATAATTATATATATATAAAGTATGTCCATCATGTATGTATATAACATTTTATCTTAGATAGTTGTGAATCAAAGTAAATCGATAGAATTTAATTAATCCTTTTTCAAACATACATCTTTAAAGTTTACATTGAATTATTCGCGTTTGTATACCCATGCTGCGTTTTCACATGACTTCGTGTTTGACTTGTTATCCAAAAACTCTGCCAATTGTGCGAGTTTCTGTTCACACTTCACAGTATGACGTATCGACTTTCGATACCCGCACCCATTGCTGATTCATGACTGCGAATAGTTCCGACAGAGACACACTCCTTGCAGCATTATCCCACGTCACATGCTATGACGCTTAATAAGCGAGATATATAAATGGTGGATCATTTTCAGATTGAAAAATTGCCTTTTTATTATAAGATATTACTTCTATTCCGTAAAGATCATAATGTTTCGACGTTGCACGGCAATGCATTTGTCAATTTTATTTCGCTAATATTTTTCTAAGAATGTATACGAGAATGTCGAGTCACGTAATGTAGATATCGCAGATTATAACACGTGCGAGTAATATATTAAATGTATCGTAGATAGAAATTTTTCATATAAATCGTTTTCTTTTTTTTTTTACGTTTTATTAGATAGCCTGCTCTTTGCAAGAGGGAATTGCCTATTACCTGGTGTCATTATAATGACACCATTAAGTTTAATTAAAACAGATAATTCCAGTAAAATAATATTCAGTGCGTCATTTCTTTTTTATGATTCGTTATACACGATATTGGAGCCATTTAATGGCGATCGTTTATAAAAGACTGGCAGATGGTAGAAATCCTGTCTAGATAGGAGCTGAATTCCTATCTAGATAAGAGCTGAATTCCTTTTAAAAAAATGGAATCTAATCACGAGGGTCACCTTCGTGATGGAAATTAGTGGCCCGAAACAAAGTGGCGTGTCAATGGATGATATTCAATTTACTTTGCAATGTACGATAACTTGTCGCACGAACGATTCCTATCAACAAAAAAGACAAGAGGGTTCCGGTTAAATGAAAACAAAATAGATTTCAAGAAACAAAAGAAAAAAGTTGAAAAACGTGAAAAAATAACGGGTCTCTTGTTTTAATTCTTTGATGTGCTGTTACAATGTAAGCGATTTATTTTAACGTAATGTTTTTCTTGATAAAGCTCGGAATCCTTTACATGTGATAAAAAAATCAATTTTTAATCTACGTAAATGATGGCCATGACAAAAAAGAATAGGAAGAAAATTTAATAGCGCGAAAACTTCGCGTTAATGCTATTGGAATTAATTCAATTTTTATTCTTTTATACATTTAATAACGTAAATAATGATTAATGATATATTTTAACTAAGTTCGTAATTCAAATAGAGCATACGAATATATCCGAGCATAGAAATTAGCTCAATGGCCTAATTTAGATGTAGCCGGACATGTCTAATTTTGTCTAAACATCACTTATCTTGATAAATAGTACATGTATACAAATTACGATAACGCAAGTATAATTTATACCTATTTGTCAGAAATGCAAGGGTCTGGAATTATATTTTACGCACAAATTATCTTGCAGTTTACATTTAACTATTTTATAAATGCTTAATCATATATAAAATTTGTATAATGTAATTTATATATCTATAATCATATACTAAAGATATCACTTTTTATTTTTATTATGCAATGACAAAAATAAAGAAACCCAAATACAGTTTTAAAAAGGTAAATAGGTAAAAAAGATTAATTGAATTTTGACACAAATCTCCTCTTGATACACAGAGCACCAATGGCTAAATTGCAAGGTAATTTTTTTGCTTTCAAGCCGCGCTGCCAAAACTTTCATAGAAAAATAAAACGTATTTTTTGGATTCGCCCAAAAGGCATCGAATCAACTAGGACCAACGGTAGAATTGTCGAAGAGAAATGATACGATGCCAAATACGATACTCTAAGATTCAAGATTCGTGTCTCGTTAACCCCGTGACCCCTTCGCGATCAATTTCAGATAAAATTTCATTCGTACGAAAATCAAAATAGCAGAAGCCTCAAAAAAACGAATACGAGATACCACGATTTTATTATGACGACGTAAAAAAACATAAAAATATTCTTTTTTATGAAACTCTTGTATTAACGTCATCCTCACGGTTTGTCAGAATTACAAAATGATAAATTCATATATTTCGATCATTGTCAAACTTTCGTCGACGCTTAAGAAACATTTCAAAGCATTTGATAAATAGAATCTATTAACAAGTAAACTTTGTGCACGATGTGCAATAAGTAAGAAACTTCGTGCTTGGCAAGAAAGTTAGTAACGTAGAAACCTATGTTCTTGATAAAACATAATATTCATGATGGAACTTAAAAGAGAGCATATAATATTTTATATATATTTATACATATAAAATTATTCTTCGCATCAATCTTTTGATATATGTAATGATAAAAATGCAATGTATGTTCATGTATGTATAGTAGCCCTTTTTCGTACCGTTGGGCTTTTGTAATGTTGTTACCTTACTATACGTTACTTTTTATTCTAGCACGTTGCTTACTGCGCGAGTAATAAAACCTTTATTACGTCCCTGCACTCTAGTTCTACGTATCACCTCATCTTCATTCCCTTTTATTTTTGCTTTTCCAAATACACAACGAAAATGCTATTTAAAAATTCCGTACGAAAAACGTTAGATGTTATAATTAAATCCATATCCATACGTGCGGATGCGTACGTATTTTATTCACTCCAGATTTTTCCTTGCAATTCACAGAATTCTATGAATTGCAAGGAAAAATCTGAATGAATATCCAGAATCAGTTATGATTTAATAAATATCTAGTTTATTACAGCAAAAAAATGATACGCTGACAGAAATTGTCGTTATGACTCCTCACATAAATTAAATATTCATGAGTAAACTGTTAATATTGTGTATATATAGACTATGATTTATCCTCTTCGTGATCGTCTTAACAAAACGTATTCCTATTCATTAGCAAAACGAGCTTTCATCTGTGAAATAGTTCATTAAGATTCTTGTATATAATGAAGCCGCATAATTTCAAGCAAAATAATCTACGAGAACTGCTTAGTATAAGCTCACTCTATATATTTCATATATACGCTAACTAAAAAATGTAACAAAAAAATAAAAAAAATATTCAAAATAAAAAATATTTAATATTTATTATTATATATTTAAATATTTTATCACAACATTTGGAAAAAAAATCGGTTTTAAATAACAAATTTATTTCAAAATAGCTATAAATATCTAATTACGTTATTCATTCAAATAAGGATCCTTCGAATTTAATTTTACTTTCGTTCGCAATAATATTGCTTAAAAATACATATTCGCAATTGCTCACATTCTACTGGCGCTGAAGAGCGTTTTCACTGAAGAGCGTTTTCTTTTATGGTGCATTTTACGGGACCAATCTCTTAGGTAGATCCCTCAGCCTATTTAATGTCGTATATCAAATTTAAATGGAATTCTCTCGGCAGAACAGATAAAGTGGTAGATTATTTTGTGTGAATTACCATGTAACCCTTTCACAAGACTTGCACGCGCGAAGCGGATGTAAAATTAAGCTCTTCCCACAGTCGACGATTAACGAGGCATCGCAAGAAGAATCCCTCAAACTTGAACATCCAAAAGTACCGCGGTAGAAGAGTAAAAAGTTTAACAACTTTGGTTATCAATGCTAAGATACACCTACTCGCAGAATTCTCACATAGGTTTGTAAGAATCAAAACACGTCTGAACAATCTTTTGCAACTTACTTCTGAACTGTCAGGTGGTCACATTATAAGCATTGTGCTCTGTTAAAACATTATTCTCTATATCTTTAATCTTTAAGATTTATATAAATATAACTATATAAGATTTTTATTACAAGATTTTGATTTCATTCACATTCGATGTATATAATTTCTCTATTTCTATAACACTCTTTTTATTATGGAAAAAAATAAATATTTTCTTAGGCTGATTTCTAACAGAATTGATACGAGCTAGTCAATAACCAGGAGCTACGAAAGGTACTATCATATGCAATTATCTAGCTTGCGCAATTATATGTACTCCTCCAGCAATATTCCGTACTCCGGGAAAGTTGAAACATATCTCTGACCCAATCTTTAAAACTACAGTTTGCACGAATGAAAATGTTTAATGTATCCTAAAATCTTCCTACAACACACACCTCGCGAACTTCGGAAATAAATTGACATTATCAACATTATAAAATCCCAAACTTTTACGGAATCTGTCAGATAATTTGTCAGGAATATTCTTTAGTTTAAAACGGATAAAATGTATCATATATGAAGAAATAACTTTGATATATAAGTATTTGTCTCTTTTATAAAATTGAGTATTAGCGGACAAATTAGATTTATATATTTCTCATA